TACATATTGTAATTAACCTTTGAAAAACTGTTACTTGTCAAATTTTGATGTAGTATCAAAGAATAGCTACAATTATGTGAAATGGCTACTAAAAGACTGCCTCTTTCTAACTTTGTATCTGTATGAAGATGGATATTTTTTCCATACTTCCACCAAATCAACATATCACAGATTGAATGCAGTAACACCTATGAAAATCCAGCTGTCTTTTACTAAACCAGCATGTAAGAGATTTGCAAAAATGCAAAACAGTGCCCATCTTCAAATTCATTTGTTTTAGTAAATATGCTTATATTTTAAAAGTATGTTATTTATGTTACCATGTTAATGATTATTAATTATATACTTATGTGAATTAATAGTTTTTTCTTAGCTTTAGTTTCTAATATGATAAATATTGATAAATATAGGCAAACCCCTGGAACTCTTAATTTTAGAAATGTAAAGGAATCCTGAGACCAAAGAGTTTGATGATTTCCAAAGTATATTCCAACTAACCATCTTTAGAATGTGCAACCATTTTAATGGCTCCTATAAAATTTCCTAGGTAGTCGCTTCTGCATACTTGTCAATGGCCCTTCTAAATGGTGGTCCTCAATAATGACATTATATTGAAGATGTAGGTTGAACAGCATAGAATAAATAAATAGGCTATGATGAGTAGGCTTTAATAATAACTATCTTTGGAGACCTTTAAGAATAGGAAAAATTCCTCTTTCTTTAAAAAGATAGGTTTTTGTCCCAGGAAAGCGAAGTGTTGGACTAGGTAGCATCTTAAAGTATATCCCTTGACACCTCAGAAATACTCTTACTTTTTCCCTAGAAGATATAAATATCAATAATTAAACCCTAATTTCTCCATTCACTATAGTACTGTTCTCAATTATTAGCAATTGCGTTTTTGACGTATTAGGCATTAGCTTAGTATCAGTTCTTTTCATATTTCATTTTTTATAATCAGTTCAAATTCTACATAAACTAATCCAACCACCTATTTGATGCTTGAACCTTCTTGCTAAAGCAAATTTAAAAAAGAAATGGGGGTAAAAAAAGAAATGGGTGTGGCTTAGAGTGAGCTTTAAGCAGGATTTAAAAATTTAGCTTGAAAGCTTTTAAAGTCTAATTATACAGGGAGGTGGCAGTGTTTTTATTTGCTGTTTACCTTTGATCTGTTACCTATTTTTGGGAGAGTGGGACATGCTTTTGTGAAAATGTTTATGGCTTCTTCATTTGATGTCAAGACACTTGTTTGAAGTTGCCCTGTAATTCAGAGGTTTTTGTCTGTGTAACTAATATTAATATTTAGCTTTTGCTGCCAGATTAATAGCAAGTTAGCCAGGATTTGGGTGACTACTTTTGAATGTATAAGTGATATACAGAATTTTAGAAATAGCTTTATTGTTTTGGGACAAATTAGACATGTTAAGTATAAAATCTCAATCATACCAACTTGAGTATGAGAAAGTAAAAATAAGCCTATATCTCGCTCAATGTTAACATTTTTGTTAAATTTTACTTTGTGAAAGGTCTGTGTGTATGTACAGACATTTGATTTTCTATAAATTTATTGGTTCTTATTATACATCTTGTTTTTCTTCAACAACATATTGTGGTCATAATTTTATGTCAGTAAATATAAGTTTATATTACAATTTTTAATGATTACAAGGGTAGTGTTATATGTATATATCATAATTTACTTATCTAGTTAGGTTATTTCCAATTTTTGGTTTTTATGAAAATGCTCTAATGAACATACACACATTACATGTATATATCTTTTATTATGATTATTATTGTTTTTTTTTGGCGATTAGTCCCTAGAATTATTTTTGGAAGTAGCATAGCAAACTTAAAGGAGATCAACATTAGAAACTTTAACACTTACTGTCAAAGTACCATTCAGAAAAGTTGTACTCAATTTATAATTTCATCATTGGTACATGAAAATGTTTATTTTTGCACACCTTCACCAATACTAGTTTTTGACCAGTTTACAAAATATTTTGCCAATGTAGGCGAAAACATTTTATTTACATTTCTTTGATGACCAGTCAGAAGCATGTCACCACCATGGTGAGATGTAGTAGTCTGTGGTCAGGTTGGGTTATTGATTGAAAAGTTCTTGAGAGGAAAGGCCATGGTTATTTATTTATTTGTTGTTTTTTTTTTAATTTTTAAATTGAGGTATAATTGACATCATATTAGTTTTAGGTATACAACATAATGATTTTATTTATTTAAAGTATTTTTTGTATCCTCGCTGTTCAGTGCAATCTCTAAGTACTTGTTGAATAATGAATAAGCAAACAGAAAAATGGAACAATCTATGGCTCTGACGATTCATTTTACTAAACAAAATGTGATTTTCTAGAACAGATGGTGATTTGCTTTGGCATTTTCTTCTCTGTCTTCTGTGCTGCTCTCAGGACCAAAGTGGCCACTTTTATTTTAGAAATGTCTTCTTCAGCCTAAACATTTTTAGTTCTCAAAGAAGTAGCTTACTTCAAGTTGTGTGCTAATTTTATCTATTTATCTAGTTATTTATAGATTTTATTTATTTATTTTTAGAGAGAGGGGATGGGAGGGAGAAGGAAAGGGAGAGAAACATTGATGTGTGAGAGAAACATCCATTGGTTGCTTCTCACATGCCACCAAATGCTGACCTGGCTCAAAACCGAGGCATGTGCCTCAACAGGGAATCGAACCGGCAACCTTTTGGTTTGTGGGACAAAGACCAACTCATGGGAGCCACACCAGTCAGGGCAGTGTGTTCATTCTTGTGAGTTAGTTCTTAACTCTTTGCCCATCATAATATGTTGCTTGTTTATTCCTAAATTCTCTGCAGAAAGGAGTATGTATTAAATTCTTTTTGTCTTTGTTATAATAATGAACTCTATGATTCTAGGAGCTTGTACTTTTTAATTGTTTGCTTCAAAATTCACCAATAGTGTAAATTAGTTGAAAATGAGATTCAGGGCTCTTTTTTAACATATGTAGCAAGACTGCATTTATATGACAAATTGAGATTTATTGACTTCATATTAATGCATATTAAAATATTATTTGCCCTGAACATCTGAAATTTGAATTGTTCCAAATTGAAAATATTTCCAGAGTTAGAGATCTTAATTTTTAGAGTCTAATGATTGAACAAAAAAAGAGCTACACATAGCCACAATATTTTCTGCATTCATTTTATCTCCCAACATTTAAATGCAAATGAAGGAATGAGATGTATTGCATTATGTTGCATAATTTCAATTCATGTTTTAAAAAAATATTTGCTGGAAGGATAAGGTGTGATTATTTAAAAAAATGTACAACTACTTAAAAAACCCTTTTGAATTCTTCCAGAGTTTAGGCTTTGGATATACAGCATTTTGCTATAGATTTATTTTGCAGATAACTTCAAAGCTATAATTTATCATTCAAGGTAGGATAAAATATGAGAAAGCTTATAACAGAACCAGTATTCTTTGCTGGCTTTGAATAATACACAGTGTGTCCACATAGGGTAGTGTGATGTCCCAGATAAAGTTACTCTCCTGGATCCTAAGACATCTGAAAGCCATGAGGAGGAGAAGGGTGTAATACTAAAAAGAAATGACAGAGCTACCCTCCCCTGGCCAGGCTCTCTGGTATTTCTTGCATCGTGGAAGTAAGCATTACAGAGTTGCTGAAACTGAATTGGGGAAGGCCTGAGACACCATTCCCTACAAAGAGGAGTTCTGGTGAAGAAACCTAATGGGTATATTAGCCATTGATAGTTAAAGCTGTCCAAATGCACAGGACAGTTTCATTATCTATCAGTCCAACTAAAAAATACAGTCAGTTATCTGGGTAATTTAGGAAGAGGCATATTTTAAGAGCTGGGGAAGGGCTGAGTTAGATGTTTATTTTGTATCTCAACTTAATTCAGGTGCCAATACCTAATTTACTATGGTCATTTGTGCTGTAAGTGCAACATTGGGAGCAGTGATTCCTACCAATGATGTTAATCAAGATTTTCTTCTTTCAGAATGAATTTTATTTAAATCTAGTTAGCTAACTAGGTGAGCTAAGCTAGATATTTATTGGCCATATTTTTAAAAAATGAGGATTGAATCAAACCACTCCCTAGAGTCTAGGAAAGTTTCTGACCTAAATTAGGAATCTAAGCTCCATTATTATTTTCAGTTGAACGCTGCTTATAGCCATCCTCACATTTGGGAAAGAATATGGCCTTTGCAACAAAGTTTCTTTGTTTGCATGGAACTAAAAATGTGCTGTATTTAGACCAAACAATAAAAATAAACTACCAAACTACCTTCTAATGCACAGGGTTCTGGAGAGAGGAAACCATAGATATTTAGAGGCATAAAGTGACTCATTGTGCTAGTTAAACTTTTTACAAGGCTAGCCCTGTGTGTTTGAGTTGCATCTGTTACCTCTTCAGCCAGAATAAAAGTATGTGCAAGCAACAAGAATTTCGGATTGAGTTGTAGCTCATACAGAATGCATTGTAGAATGCAACCTAAGAGTCAAAATGGGTACCAAACTTATGTAGAACAAAAACTGCATCCTTTCATGTTTATTCCTCCTAAAGTTATTCTTGTTGAACACAACCAAGATATTTTCTGTGAAGCTTATTCATTTTAACTTGGAGACATAAATTAAACATGTTTTTTAAATGTAATTTGTAAGTCTATATTTCCCTTTTTTTAAAAAACATTGTTTTTTTGTTTTTACTGATGCTTTTAAACACCAACTTTATTACTGATACTTTTTTTAAGAAAACTGTAATGGCTGGAGATATTGTATTCTTAGCAGTAGAACAATGAAATAATTGTTTCTTTTGTTATTACCATCTTAGAAAAAGTTGTTAGAGTAGAAGGGGACAATTAACTGCCTGGGTTAAAAATAGTATGATTTGTAGTCAGAATGTATACTTCTTTAATAAAACACATTAAGGCAATTTAGTTAACCTTTTCATTTCATTTTTTTGTCTAAATTTTCAGGTCACTTTCATGAATTCAAAGGCAATTTACCAGTGATTTCTGGGTGCTGGGGCTGATTTTTTTTTTGCGTATTTGTAAGTATTGGTTTATTTATTACTTTTCTCATTGTGTAATGAAAGTTATAGTTTGTAAACAAGTTAACTCCTTTTGTGTTTGAATTTTTATTAGTTTTTTGTGTTTTTAAAGTGTTATCTATTTTCTTGTGTTTTCTTAAGGGGAATATAGAAAAAATATCAGCTGATGAGAAAAAAGCCTCAGTTTGTTGTGATTTCAAGTGAAATAACACAATGGCAGGGCCCATTACAATCAGCTGAAAGAATAAATATCTTACTTTTTGAAGAAGGGGCTCAACTGTAAGAATGAATTAACCTTAAAGAGGGGGCTAGTCTATATGCACATGAATAATTTACCCTGGTAAATTCCTACAGCCCTCTGGTTGTCTGGATTGAAAAGTGCTGTGTGCCTATGCTCCCATAAAAGATGTGAGATGATACCGAATTCAAAGAGCTGTCAGCACAGGAGGCTACTGTGCTAAGGAACTAAAGACTCATTTAGTGAATGTATAATATATATCAAATTAGGGGTATTCCTGCTTTCTTCACTATTCCCCAAACAATATTAACAAAGATACTTTTTCTCAGGAAAGATGGTAAATTTCAAGAAAAAATTGAATGAAATTTAATGATCAACTAAAATACTTTGGATTGATGTATGCATATATTTATTAATATAGAAGTAGTTTAGAGTATGTGGCAGGTATTAAAAATGTCTGTAAAAAAACAGACTGTATTTAAGTAGAGTCTAAAATACATTTATGTGTGTACCATGTTGCAAACTGTTGTCATCTAAAGGGCTATTTTACATTTGATAATAACAAAGACGTAAAAACTTTTCCTTTGTTAGTGTACTCCTATAAAGGAGTTTTAGAGAACATACTTCTAGGAAAGTATTTTTTTAAAAGTAACATTATAAATTAGAGTTTAATTTACTCAGTATTTAAGCAAAAATTTATTTAAAATCAGCTTTACTTTTTTTTTTTTTTAGTAGAAACATTGATTGGGGCTGGCATTTAGAATGAACTTTAAAAAAATTGACATGAATGTTTAATACAGTTTAGTACATTTTGTATATTTTTAATAGTTTAAGAATAAGGTGTTATTTTTATGAAATTATCCATTCACATATTATTTTTTAGACTTAATTCTTATGTAGAACACAAATTATTAAACTACATGGCTCATTTGGATTAAATATGAGCTTTTAATTTGTGCAAGGTATCATAGTGAGGATTAGGAGGCAGAGGAGATGGAGAAATGTAAAGTATCTTTGAAGGGCTCTCAAGACAAAGGATGATTTCAAGGAGTTGAGCTTAACCTACTAGAAATCTGAGTGAAGAGGAATAATTTTGAGCTTTCCTAATCTTATCTTAGTTACTTTATCTTTTACCTCCTTTCTCTCTTCTCTCATATCATTCAATCGTTCCCTTTAGTAAGTTTTTTAAGATGGTTAAAGTTAAAAATGACAAATACAAGATAATTACTGGCATTTTAACTAAAATGGCCTTCACTGAAATATAATTTACATTTGTCATCACCCAAAGGCTCTGTTTCCTGAATTCTTTACTCCTACCCCAATTGTACATAGACTAACTTTGAATGGAGGTGATCCAAATAGCTGAGATTTTTCTTGTGATCTAACAAAAAGATGCTAAAAATAGAAGGGTCACTAGGGGTATAGTTTTCATATGGTTATTTCTGAAGTTCAACTTCAGATTTTGTTTTGATCACTTAGGCAAAAGTAATGCAAATCATCTGGGCCTCAAATAATTGTTTTCTAGTCTAGTTATATGCTAGTTTAGGGCATGGGCTTTGTTGTCCTTTGGTTGCTGGTCTCATGCTTTGTTAGGACCATCTTCTGAGTGTGGAACCTTCTTATTAAAGAAATGTAGCAGGATACTCTGACTAAGATAAGTCGGATAAACTTAACATGGCATCCAGAATGCTTGAGTTCCTATTTCTTTCAATTATTGCTGAAATTGTCTACTACTTACACTGAATGATGAGGCAGCTAAAAAAAAAGAAAAGTATTTATCTAGTCTGGTTTAAGAAAAAGCAAATGGGATCAGTGACAATGGCTTCTTTTAGGAACTTTAATTTCCATGTCCTGGAACTGCTCATTTGCTACATGATCTAAGGCAGAAAGTTATACCTCATGGCCATGGGAAGGTTTCTTAGTAAGGTGTGCAGAAGCTGGTCTGTGAGATAAGGAAGGTGGGATATTGTTTTGCACATCCATAATGAATGGGCCACACCAAGGGTGTGTGAGAACCGATTGGAATCTTACCTACTCACGTCTACCACCTAGGTCAGAAGAGGAAAACACTGAGAAGGAAAATGGCTATCTTTACAGAAGCTGAAAGTGTCTTACTATAGGGTTTTTTCCTTTAAAAAAGAAAACTACCCTTTTCTTTTCTCAAAGTAGGCATTGTGTAACAAGACCTTATTTTCCATGTTAATATCCCACATTTAGTTTTTTATCTCTAATTAAAAAATAATTATGGAATTCTGACCATTCAATTTTACCAAGGCAATAGATGTTTGATTAAAAACAAAATAGAAATAGATTATTAAATAACCTGCTTTTTCAGGTTACCCAAGCTTTTTTAGTGATTTGAAAATAAATTACCTTTTATAAAATTCTATCTGTGTTTATGGTCTCTCATAGCAACCTTTTCCCTAAAGAAGGTACAAAAAGTATTTTATTGTCTGGTACAAAAAGTGATTATTGCTTAGCTCATGCTTGAGGCAATAGTAATAACAATATTTTAATTTGGTGTAACACTTGTTTTTGCAGACATTAAATTGACTTAATTTTGTAACTCTGTGGAGCAGGAATTATTCTCATTTTTGCAGAGTAGCAGGACTTAACCTTTTAGGGCTCTTTCCATAATATCAAGCTGTTCTCAGAGAGTATTTTAGCTTCTTTGGTTGTTGTCAATCACTATTGCAGTCTTCACTTGATTGTTATACAAATGTTTTTGAAAAGTTGAGGTAGTGTAAGTCAAGGAGGAGATTGTAGAAAGCCTTCTACCACTTCATTTTCTTATGTTACTGGATCATTTGCTTCACCCTGACAGTCGCCTATTCCCCTATTCCCGAACTGCCACAGGCCATGCTTTGCTGAAATTTTTGAATCGCATAAAATTTTAGGAAACAAATAAAAAATGACAAATTCATCTCTTTGTGGTATTTTTAAATGAAAAAGAATTTTTTTTTTCAAACTGAGCATAGCCCAGTCCAAAGCTCCCTCAGTGAAAACATCTGATTTTAAGGACAAGTAGGTCTAAGTGCATTATCTTTAAAAAATATTATTCCAGGCTAATCTTGACATAGAGCAGGTAAATAAAAAAGATGAGCTGTGAAAATCCACAAATAGGGCTTGAATGCCATTTTCCATGACAACGGGAGCTGCCCCATGAAAGCATTAATGCTGGGAATGTAAGGAATTTAAAATTGTGCCTTCTCAGTTTTACAGTTGTGTGCTCATGTTAATTAGAGATATACTGACATTTGAAGTATCTGCATTAATACACACAGCTACTATACATTTGTGAACTGTGGTTAGAAATCTACTTTAATTGAAAGCAGTTTGCTAATCTGAATGTGTATATCCATTACATTTTAAGCTTTTAAAGTTTTATATACTAGTGCCCTTAGACACTTGTTCTTTCTGCTTGCTTCACTTTCTGTTTCTAATTAATACCTGAAAGGGTACTCTGGCCTATTTTTAATCTCTTAGTTGTGTTTTGGAGCAATGTTGTTGGAATTTTGAGAAAAAATATTTTTAATAGTGTCCTTTATTTACTTTTAGTTTGAATCTTTCTTCCCTCTCTGACTTTGTAAATTGTTGGCTTTTCTTGCAAACATTTAACATGGCCTGCCATGGAAATAATGTAGGATTTAGGTTTATGGAATTTGCTTCACTGGCTATATTTAAGCACTAAAAAGCTGCTCTTCATGGTCACACTATAGTTTTATCTAGAAAACCCCGTATTAGAGACCTTGCTGAGCTGAATGGTGAAGAGGCATTCTGGTTTTTCCAGTGTAGCTGAATTTCATTCTTCTCTCTTGATGTCAAGCCACGTATATTAATCTTTGATTTGCAAACATATTCACAATAGCTTGATGACTTCCTGAGGTCATCTTTTAACTCTAGAACTTTTGCTTTGTCTTACACTTAAAGGAAGACTTGTTACCTCTTTTTTGCAAGCTTGTATTTCTTAAGAATCTGCCTGTCAGGATTTTTAACTTAATTGTTTTGTGTGTGTTGTCTAATGAAACACCCACACTTATTTTTGGACCAGTCCCTGAATATTACACAAGACCAGTTAGAATGAAGCTTCCTTTTTGTTGCACCAGGACAAACTGCTCTAAAAAGTTTGTAATACTCTGTACTTGTTTCATTAAACCATTTTACTGGCACCATTAAACCACTGAAACCTGGGACCATTAAAACTTACTCAGTGCTATTATTATTATTAAGGCCTATTTTTACCCTTTATTACTTTTTTTCACTGTACTAAGTTTCTCTGTTTTTATTCTTTCATGATGCTTACTGCATATTGTGCCATCACAGCAAATTTTGGAAATTTTAAGTTAATTGCTCAATTATCAGTGATAGTTATGAAGCACTTGAAACATGCACAGTGGTAGACTTAAAAATTTCAAAATAAGTTGATGTGTCATAATCTTAAATGTGAAACATGCCAATATCTGCAGACATAAAAATACACTGCCTGAGCTAGGCATTTCAGGGAAGACAAAAACCGACTCTTAAAATCAGGGCTTTTGTCTGGCACTGAAGTGTGTCATCTTTGCTAATTTCAAACAACATGTCTGAATTTGATCTTGGTTTACTTTTCAAGTCTAAAACTTTGGTCATAGTTATAAATGAAAAGGGAAGTAAAACTGTATTGATTCTATTTGAATGTTTTATTGGAACCTCACAATCATGATATTCACTGTGAAGTGGAATTTGGTGTGAGGTAGATCCTTGTTGGAGGCCAATCAAGGAG